AGTATCTCCAGTACCTTTGGACCTCTATTCAGAGGACACAGCCATTTCTGGAGCCTAGATTCAGCGTGGCATTCGGCAAACCAGAAAGGCAGTAGATGCCCCATCCCTGGAAACATTCAAGGTCGGGTCGGACGGGGCTCTGAGCAACCTGATCTAGTTGAAGATATCCCTGCCCACAGCAGGGGGGGTTGGACTAGATGACCTTTAAAGGTCTCTTCCAATCCAAACTATTCTATGAGTCCAATTGACACATGAGGGTACAGAAACCCACCACTTCACGAGCAGGTCCTTCCCTTGGTGTCCCTTGCAACAGTTTATGTATTCAATCTGCATAACTCAAAAACCACCACAGTCTGAAGGCTCAGGAGGTGCGCACAACTCCTCCTCTCCTCCTCCTGAGCCCAATGCACCCAACATCCCTAAAGGATGGGAAACAGCGCCCACGCTGTCCTCAGAAAACGTGGTGTGGAGTGTTAACCAACAAGACTGTGGCACCCTTCAGCCTTTACTGACCAAGCACCTCAGTGGCACACATGCACCACCAGCAGAAACACCCTGCAGGCAGAGTATGATAAATTCCAGCTTTTTTGTTGTTTTGTTCTCAGTTTTGCTGTCTGCATGTATGTTCTAATAGGAAAACACTGTGGTATTTTCTGTTTTTAAACTACTTGCCTATTTGAACATAGACTTTTTTTGGTTAGCTGTAGCAGGTATTAAGCAGACAAGAGCTGTATGTAGTTTTTTCCCTTCACAAGAGAGTTGCTATGCAAATGCTGAAAGATTAGTATGAGATATGAAATACTTTTCTAAACAACTTTAACAGCTTGAGGTGCTTAACAATGCCATTGGAAAAACCAGACCCAGTATGTCTTCAACGCTTTCGCAATCTGATGAAGTGCCAGTGCTGCAGCAGCAGGGATGATACTCTACCATCAAACTGAGCATAAACAAGATCCACAGTCTGGATGATGATCAACAGTAGATCATGTAATTAGAAGAGATGACATTTTGGTCAAATAACAGTAAGAATGTTACAATGGTTGTGTCAGATTTCTTAAGCTGAGGAACTTCAAGGTGAATTTACCCACATGAAGGCTGACAGATGACTTAGCAACTGCCCCCTGATGTGACAGTCTGGCCCTACAAGAATCTTAATATCAAGCAAGTAAAATAGGGAGCTTGGACAAGCTCAAATCAGAGGGCACACATTCCCAGAAACATGGCTAACCACAGCACACATTTCAGTAAGCTATTTCAAATTCAGATCACGTCTTCAAAACCTGATTTTGACATTTAAGTGACCAGCAAAACCTACACGATTTGACTGAACCATGAAACACACACCTGGATCTGCCATCAGTGGCAGAAGCTTCTCCAGGCTTCAACAAGCCAGGCTCTAGCAGAGTGATGCACCCTCTGGCCTTAAAATCCAGGAGTTTTACAGGTATCTTGTTTTGAGAACAAAGTTAGGACAGGCAATTTGTTAGGACACAGGAATAAACTTGTTTTCCTCCTACTGGGGAAACTGAGAGGGGACGAGATGGAACCAAAAATGCATCTGAAGACACATCAATGCCTGCCCCTGCCTTTGGGCACACCCTGTGCCAGGTACTTTCCTCTCCAGCACTTCCTAGCTTCTTCCCTTCCCGTGCCTATGATTTTCTCTATATGGATTGTTCAAATACATCAAAAGCTCCTTCTCTTGCATTAGTGCTAAAACAGCACTCCCTCACACAGTAAACACACAGCTTCTACACCAAGCTTGCTGCTGCCCAGAAGTATGACAGCAGCTTTCAGGAGAATGTCACAGGCGCAGCACCCACATGTTGTTCCCTCCCAGCGCAACCCTCCCAAACCTACCTAAAACTCAATTGCTAGCCCACTGCTACATGGGCAAAACACATTTCCACGTGAAAATTGTACAGAAATTACCTATTTCCTCTATGCAGTTTGCACTGTACAGCTGACAGCACGTGTCTGAATTCACCTGGTCTGAGGAACTGCTGAGGGAAGCTACGCTGCCTTCAGATGTCTGCGCTCCTGAAACGAGCATCCTGGCTTCACACTCATCTCCCATCACAGAAGTCTCATACACACACTTCCAGATGCTACAGTGCTGCACTGTTCTGGTTAGAGCAGCTTCCTACCTGCAACACTCAAGTCTTTTGTGAAACGAATCATCAGAGGGATGAGCCACCTGCCCCTCTCTCATCGACACTGCCAAGTGCTCAGCAGCAGCCCTGGTAGGCTATTTGTTGAAACAGGAACAAAAATTAGGGTGAGATTACATATACTAGGTCCTAATATATTACATATATGAGGATTTGGGAATAAAATGTACAAGCTCCTTGCTAAAACAATATCCAACATAAAACAGTACATAACAGTTTACCTACTAAGAATATTTATATGACACAGATCTGGAAAACAATCATTTCCATACTTTAGGAACAGTTAAGATCTATATTCCTGTCAAACTACAGTACCTGCATTTCAATACCATGTAAAGAAAAAAGTCCAAAATTCTTTTATTGAATAATCATTAATTGAAACAAAGACTTTACTAAGACTTAACCAACAAAAACCTATTTATTTATTCCAAACACCAAGATACAGAAGTTTTCAAGTTTCGCAAATATTGCTCCAAAGCAAAATTCTATATACAGCGCCCTCAGTTCTAATAGTGCATCAACAAAGACAAATATACTTATGTATCCACAGTGCAATGTTTGCTCATTTCATCAAGGCTCCATGTTGCATTCACTTACCAGTGATTTAAAGAAATTTAAAAAGTGACCTGCCAGACTCAACAGTTGGTCCAGACTAAGAAATAACAATGTGGAAACTTGCAAAAACAGGGACAAAAATTAATCCAGGCAGAGCACAATAAAGAATCTTTTCTGAACATGAGAAATGCTACTCTATTTTAAATAAATATTTTCAGTCTTTATCTGCAAGGGCTTCCTTAGCTCTACTAAAGGAATACAAGTCTCCAGTATTTGTCATTTGATTCACCCATCAGAACCGCCTTTTCTTCCAATTTTAAGTACTCCCCTGAGCAAAAATAAACTGGCAAAATAAAAATGTACAATGAACACACAAAAAACAATTGCTTGGGAAGGAGAAGTTCCACTCTGGAGTGAAAAGTCTGCTCAGGAATTTAACTGCTTTCACACCCTCAAACTGTAAGCACAGCTGACTTTGTTAACAACGCAGCTATGTCTTGGGGAGACACCCAGCTTGCTTTACAGATTTCAACCAGGGAACACCTTTTTGCTCGGTCTCACCTGAAAAAACGCAAAACCTTCACAGTTGTCTGGGGGGCTCCTTCCAATGCTGTTCTAGTTGTCTGGTTACTGCCGCCTGTTCTAGGGCTACACAGTATACATGAATTCAGGTGTCATTAACGGGAATGAGACAAGGTACAAGCACTGGTCTCATCTTCAGAGAGTGAAGTGATTCTTAAATATGTAAGCTTTATTCCAATTGTGTTACAGAAAAATAAGTTTACCCTCCTGCTGTACATATGTTGTATTCACTATATACAAACTAGTACTATAAAACTGTGAGACAAATTATTTCCTGAAATGAGTCTTGGCACAAAAGCCTTAGTTACTACCTACAGTAGCCTAATTATTTTGTTTTCTGAAGGAAATAAAATACTCACTATGTAGATACCATTAACTCCTACAATAATATTGGATATTTCAAGTTTACATTATTCTTTGCAGTATATAAAGATTACAGATTCATATCTGAAATTAGTAATTTGTATGGGCCTTTCAATTACAACTGTGCTTACATTTTACCCTTTGGTGGTACCATCACACACAATAAAATCAAGGTAACAAATCCAGCTTTTTAAGGACACCCTCTCACTGCAAAAACAGCTTACCAATTTCCACAGTGAACTTAACTCAGCAACGTTTGGGAAGAAAAACTAAAGTCACAGCCATTATTTATGGAGCTATGATCTGCAGCTGAAAGACTTTTAACATCTCAAATACTTACAATACACCAATGTTTCAAAAGGTACTGTATAATGAGACCTGAACATAAGCAGCATTTTCACCTTGCTCTCAAAGTAATACAAACCAGAAAACTAAAACTTAAGGTATAAAAAGGGACTTTGTGAACATACACCATTTAAGATAATAACCCACTCGCTGTCTGCAAGGACAGTACCTCATGCATAGATCTTGAGGCTTTATTTACACAAATATAAAATAAACTGATTCCCAAAACCACACATTCATCGAGTAAGTCTTTACAATGAACACGTATTGAAAAAGGTCTACATTTCAAAATATAACCGGAATGGCAATTATTAACAAATAGATAGAAAACTACGTAACGTCCATTACAGACCTTGCTGAAGTCTGGAATTCCAAGCGCATCTCCAGTCTTTTCACGGCGGTATTTCATACTGCCGCAACCAGGGTGTCCCACTAGCACTGCTTCAGGAGGCACAGTATGGCCATATTTAAGAGCTCAAGAACGCACATAAACACAACGTTCATGGGTTTCCCCAGTACCAAGTCATGTGATAGTGACAGCATAAATATGGAAAACAATCATTTATTCTGAAAATAAGTGCAATCCACCTGTGACCTTCTGCTACATTATTTAACATAATAGAAGTGGGGTTTAGGCCACTTACTTGCAAACCTCCACGTAACAGTTTGTAGTTAAGAGCTGGACATTCATACTTACTAAGTCTGAAAACTGTTATAACATTTCCTAATGACTGAATACTGTGTGCTATTATGCATAAACCAGAAGGAATAAAACATGACACAAGTCACTTAAACTATGCGAAGTTATTTACAACCTCTGTCAACTAAGCATTTTTGGCTCTTAGAACTCTGTTCTTCAGTGGCACAATTTTTAGTCAATTTAATTATGAAAGTCTACCATTTCAATGAGCAACTTGTAAGGAGTGAAAATTTAAGTATAATTTATAAACCAACACCCAACCTCTGAAGACAACAGTATGACCTCTTCCATATAATTTTAATTGCCTAATAAACCTGAAATTATGATGAGATAAAATAACCTTTTTGCTGTTCTTTGAACAGCACTTCTTCACAAATCCCTGAAGTCAATCTGCATCACATGCAATCAGCATGCTAATTTCATTTAAATATACAGAGCTGTTCACATCAGATGCTCCCACTTTGCACTCAGTAACAGTCTCCAACATTTTCTAGTCTCACGTTGAGCAGCAAAGTGCAATCTGTTGCACTTTGCCTAGGTCCGTTATAAGCTGCTTTATACAATGTTTGAGTTGTGGGAGCCGAGCTAGCGGTTCTGGTGGTTCCAGCTCTCCTGTATAATCCAGCCAACTCTCCAAAACTGCAAAGAAAAACAAAACCATCACTATTCCAGTTCTCAGCAAATACACCACCTTAAGTCACAAAACAGGAATTCTTTAAATCTTTTGTGAATCTTGAGAGCGCAGTGGGCAATATTTTTAACATGTGGTATTTGAGAAATCAGAAAACCAGGCTCCTCACACCAATCTTTACAGAAAAAAAAAAAGCAGATGTTCCTAGGAGAAAGCAGGGAAGGAAAACTCAGGACTAGATATTGTGAAATCTGGTGCTAAACTTCCTCTGATCTGTATCAATTCCAGAGCAAGGACACTGCAGTACAGGAAGTTTATACCATCAGAATACCTTTAAGATCAGCATTAGATACAACTACACGGTATTTTTATTGAAGATCCTAAAAGGATAGGACTATGCTAATGAAAGAATACAATTGACCAAGACAGAAAGAACTGGGTAACAGAAAATGGGGATGAAATCCAAAAGCACAAACAGCAGACTACTGCACCAAGAAAATTAATTCCTGCTCTAAAGCTTCAACCAGACTGACCAAAGACAACTCAGGCGACAATGTAATACAACCACGAGAAAGGTGGTCACATTGAGCTACGATGAGTTCAGGGGACGGGACAGTATCGCAGAAGGAGACTGAAACCTTGAAGGCAGAATACATCTGCCAAGAGAAGCAGCAGTGGCCATTGCCACTAACTAGATTACAGGCTAGTTTAACCTAAGGGCAATATCTGCTGAAGAACTAGTGGGCATTACCCAACTATTGACACCTCCAGCGTTGAAATAAGAAAATTCTGATCAGAGTAGCAATGCTCTGAGCAGCCCTCCAGCTCAGCAGCAGATACAAAAAGCCTGACTTTTGTGAAATAGAACTTCTTCATTTATGAAATAGGCATTATGATTACAGGCCTGATTGATCTTCATTACCTGAAATACTCCTTTAGTTGTTCAACTTTTCATTACCTTACTGAACTACAAAAAGAGGACTCTTACTTTGGCAAAGGTTAGATTCCCAATACCCTTGCAAGAAAAGCCGCTGCTGTAATGACTATACAACCAGTGGTCAGACTTAAAGATGTTAAGAAAAAACTATCCTGGATTCTTTAATGTAACACATAAAAGGTTTAGAAGTTTTCCATTACTAGGAAAACAAATTTTAAGAGACATTTAAGTAAAGAATTTGTAAAAGACAGGTAAAGATAAGAGCCTTGTGCACCAAAGAGGCCACCTAGAATAGACTGAAACAGCCAGCAAGCCCCTGAAGAAGCGGGAAGTTCAGATACACAGAAGCGCTATGGAAAAATGACAAAAACCCAAAAGCAAAGAGACATGGAAGATATTCCACTACATCATCTGATGCAAGTATTTAGAGGTGATCTAAATAGAACTTTTTCTACAAAATTCTGCTCAGTTTTAATTTGATCTTTGTTTTAAAATCCACCTGCCCAACATCAGCAGCATGTCTATTTTCTATTAGTAAATGCAGTAAATCTGACAAAGCAACGCTCATCTCTTTGTAGGTCTGCAGAAGTAAAATTCAAGTTAACATGTTTGGAACAGGTAGTTCAGTTAAATATAGTTTATTTCTGAAATAGAAAAATGTTACCTACCATCTAGCTCCTTCTCAATGAAATCCATTCTGTGTATGACTTCATCTTGCAGAGATTCGACATGAGCTAAAAGATTAAGCTGCCACTGCAGCTGCGAGTTCACAACTCCTTCTTTGTCTTTTTCCAGCAATTTCATTTCAACAGCTTCCTCTGGAGAGACTTTCTTAGAGACAGACTCTCTTACCTAGCAGAAATACATACATTAATATTTATTACAGTGAAACAGAATTGGTGAGCCAGACTGTCTGGGTCTCTACAGTTATCCAAGCTAATTGCTCAACTAATCTTAGGCAAGTGGAGGATAGAGACACACAGAGATCACACACAAATATCAAGGCTGTTTGGGCAAGAGGATCTAAATACAGACATGCTTTTGTAGGTATTTTGCTAAGACCTATTCTTTGCACTTCACAAGCATCTGATTTTCAAAAGGTAACATATATACACATAGCTAGCTCCCTGCCAACTTCCAACTGGAAGATACTGCACTTAATCTGTGCATCCTAGGGAACATTAAAGCCATTTTTAACGTGACAGTAATCAACTAAAGAGCAAATGATTTTGCAGTGAGAAGGGATTTTTCCTGAAGGAATCTATCTCAATGCTACTAAAACTTTCATCGAAGCATCTAGGAAAAAAACCCATTACCACCACTTATAAAACTTGACCACGCTGTCAGCAGTGTTGATTCTACTCCCCTACTTTTTTCATCATTCTGCTGAAATACGACAGAATTTAGAAAAAGGCTCCTAAAAGATTGAAGAACTGAAATATATACCTTTCTGGGAAACATAAAGCAATCTCAATTGATTTGCTAGAGGAGTTAAACAGAACATAAATTACAGCTTGCATATGCATGAAACAAAAGCTAAACAACCTTTTAATCTAAAAAAGGGAGGTCAGTATTTCCCAGAGGCTTTCTAACATTTGTCAGGCCGTATTTCATATGACTTGGCACTAACTAATCAAAGCAAAATTTTTGCATTGGGGTGTAGAAAGAAAGGCCTCTGATAACCTGATAGAGCTGAAAATGAGAACCAAGAGTTGAAAAGATAAAACTAGAGTCCTCCAGTAGGAAAAAGACACAGGACTATTCAATGGTGATCATTCTTAAAAACCAGTTCAGGCTTTTTTTTTTTTTCCCCACCATGAAATGCTGCCTGAAGAACCTGGAATCAATTTAGTTGATGTAATTATTAAAAGAAACATGGGAACAAGAGGAAAATAACTAAAAGCTGGAACACCAGTGTATTTGGTAGTATTGTTTGCCCTGTTCTCTCTCTATCCTGTTGCTAGTGTTTATTTTTACATTTAACACACATAAAAGTAAGAACCAATGAACAGTGGGCCATAATGCATGTTCCACAGACTGTGCAGATGAGCTAAGGTCCAGAAGTCCTCTTCAACCTAGATTATTTTTTTAATTTTTAAAAAAATTATTCTTTGAAATGGAGGAGTTGATCACGTCTATCATTTTAATTCATATTAGCAACTTAAATTTAACAGTATAGGAAAAAGCAAAACACAAATAGACAAGCTAAATACTATTATAAAGCGTTGAGTTTTGCACTTTGCCAGGCAAACACATCCTCTATGCAGAGAGGGTTATTTTAATAAAAATACCTTAGAGTAATTGTGTTTGGATTCATTTTCCATCTTGCATATTTCTCGGTCCAGATTCCAGCCAAATCTCTCTGACAGGGCATCATCCCCATTTTCCCTTATTCTATTTACTTCATCATCCACGGCTGAACCTCTTGTTTCCACAACCAATCTCTGCTCTATTGCAGGGTAGTAGGCCCGAGGCTTCTGGTAACAGTGTTCACTCGTAATGTAAGATTCCTCCACAGAAGGAATGGTTGAGGGTTTCTCAACTATCCCATTCCAAGTTCTATAACTTGCCGTCTCCTCTTTGCAACAGTTTTCCTCAATGTGAATGATGTGTTTTGTATGAATTTTTTCATCCACTGTAATGTGCTTCCATGGATGGCACCACAACTTTAAGTCAGGATGTTCTTTATTTCTGTTCAAACATAAGTAAAACATCCACGAAACTTAAACTTCAAAATGACTGAGAAAACTATCCTATTATGTAAAGAAATTAAGTAAGAATACTTGAAGTACTACCTGCTTTAGTCACCATAATCAGTAAAAAAACCCCAAATATTCTGAAATAATATAATTTAACTGACCTCAGTTGTGTATCTTCCTACAGTGTTCTGTTAGGTTCACTATTTTCATTTCTATAAACATGGTATATAAGCCAAGTGTTGGCATTAAGAAAAAAAAATTGAAGAGTAAGTTTCAAATAGATACATACAACTCTTCACCAATGTTGCCCTTGAAGTAGCATTTTGCTTCAATATTTGCAATTTATTAACAGCATAAACTCATTTCCTCTGGGGTATTTTTAGTAGTATTTTAAATAGGTAAGTCAAGTACACTGAAGCTAAACTAAGATTTTAACAATTTTAAACCCCAATAAAACAAAAAGACCCCCTCAAACCACTCAGTATCAAACTTTAGCATGTAGTTCCCCAAAATAAACTTTAAAATTCAATCCATTGATATTTTATAACCCTCTAATAACGACAACAACTGAGGACTTGGGGGGGTGGTGGTATGGAACTTCTTTATTATTTCCTTTCAAACTTTAACCTTCCTTTAAATCCCAAGATGCTGAGCAAACTCTACTGCCTGGTACACCAACACGCCATAGGCCCCCCACCTGCTTCTTATAAAAATTCTTATTTTAATTGTTTTCAAATTGACTAATACATTATTTATTCCAGCAGCAGGGACACAACTATAGGTATCAGATTCTTACATGGATATGACAAACGAACAAAAAATTGTAACTCAGCATTGTAACTGATACTATTCTTCCACATGTCTGTCAGGCATTAAAACAGCAGTAAAAAGGAGAGCAAAGCAGAATCAATCTGCTTATCTTCACAGGGTAGGCAGCTTATCTGCAACAATGCAGCAGAAGCAAATCCTGACCCTAAAGCACCTGCACTCAACTGAATGGAAAGGAGGGGGGTCTGCTTCAAAACCCCACTCTATGCTTCCTTGCAAACAAAGGTAGATAGAACTACGCCATTAAACTGATCCAGCTTTTCCAGCTGTTAGCCAAACCACTCAACAAAACGTGACAATTTTACTTCCAAAGTAACTGCTTTCTAATCTCTTCTACAGTAGCTAAGGTATCTTCAGTGTCTATCAGAGGAAACTACAGTTCATACAACTGCCAAGGACTTGCTCAGACCACTTTATACAAGCGCCTCTTGTGTAAAGAGACTGCGTGTCTATAATATCCTTGGTAAGCAATCCTGAAGGCACACCTACAAAAGTGAAAGCCAAGTGTTCATTTACCAAAGCTTTCAGCACCGCTGATACCCTACACCTAAAGGCACTATTTTGCTCAGCAAAAAGCAAGGGATAACTTTACAGAAGACAGAAAATCGAAAGATGATGCACCAGCTACATAAGGATGAAAATTTGAACACTTTATACTTGAGCAACCTTTTAACTATTGCCTTCTGGCTCTCCCTCCCATTGCACCAAAGCTGTCAATGTCACCTCTGATCCTTTGCCACCTTCTTGAAATACTGAGCAACACTCTCCTAATAATTTCAGGCAGCTATGAAATCATCTCCTCCTCCCTAGACAGTAGATCTGCAATGACAATATAATCATTCTTCTAATTCAGCAATTTTTAAAATCCTTTGTAATTTATATAATAAAGAAAACAGGGGCTATAGCTTTTAACAAGATGGTCCTAACAGGATCATACCTCATCTTTAATTAAACCAACTTCAAGATGGGAGAGAAAAGGAACAAAGTCTGCAACAAGCATCACGTATTTGCCCAGTGCTCCATACCTTAGTGCTATGCAAATCTCAACTTACTCTACAATTGGAAAGTCACAATCTAAAGTCTTGCTAATTTAAGAAAAGGCCTAAGGAGTGGTCTTACAATATTTATGTTCCACCCTCTCCAAAGAGGAAAGAGATTGCTTATAGATCCGACTAAAGGATATCATAATGGAAAAGCAAAACCTTATGTTAAAATCGCTACTCTTTTGCTTTAAGCATTATTCCATTGTTCAAGCATTTCAGGTACTGCCAGTGGCCCTACTGCATCACTACAGATTAAATTTAAGGGAAAAAGTTCTAAAGAACACTGGAAACACTAAAAGCTTTGCTTTCCAAATAGCTGCTGCTGTGCAATTTATCAACTAATAAATTATAAATAAGGAATTCAATCAATTTAAAACTGCTGGATTTGAGTTAGAAAAAGATTTTTCAGTCATCAGAACCCAAGGATGACTTTAAACAGGAAAGAATGCAGAAAACTCGATTTCTACAGTGATTACAGAATGTGTTATTTTTTCATATATATCTGTAATAATCTTTGCATAGAAATGAATGGCTACAGGTTGCTGAAGGTGCAACTGCTCTCCCACTACAACAGAGCAATGCATTATGCCAAACAAAAAGATTTGATTTCTGCTGGTAAAGCTATGATTTAGAATTACTGAAATGGAGAAGGCAAGTGTTACAAGAATGCTGCCATAGGTTATATGCCTATCTTCTTGCTACTTAAATCTATTCAGGTGCTTTAGGAGAAGCTGTTGTTATTAGTTTTCTCCCTCTTCCCTTCATACTTTCCCAACCCTTCTATACACAGTCAATATAGACTCGTCAACACACTTAAATAGTTTTTAAACAGCCAAGTCCTTTCCCAAGATCACATTAGCAATTCAAACTATGTTGTTATATATCCACAAAGAAGCACAAGAATAAGGCTGATTTTCTAGTTATTTTTCTACTATTTGAAATCTAATTCACGTTGAGAACATGCCGACTGATACTTAAATACTGCTTACTGTAATATGCTCATCTTCAGCTGCAGTCCATGCAGTACTTCTATCACTCTCTGTACATCGCCAAGAAGTTGGTGAGTGGCTACTATCTTCTTGGCATTCTGGTGGGAATAATTTTCTTCCAAAAATGCTAAGCCATGCATGTGACCATTACTTAACCACTCCTTCTCATACCAGTACTTTAAGCTGGATCTCTGACCTAAAGCAACAGTAATGAGTGTGTTAAAATGAAGCATTAACTATGGCATGTTAACATTACTGGTCGTAATTCCGATTATCTCAAAGTCTTGTGACAGCTTATTTTTCTTATCAACAGTATCAATAAAGATCCTATGATAGCAGACAAAACCCTGAAGACATGAAGAACTTGTGAAGTGGGAAGTGAGATGATAACCTCAGTCAAAAAACTCTGCACAACTGTAAAAGCATTCAGACCCCAAATTCCATCAAAGGACATCCACAACAGGTAATTGCAGCTGATGCACAGAGAAAAGTGTATTTTTAGCAGGGTATCACACTGTCTAGTAACCATGGTTATAACTAAAGCTACAGTTTGAATACAGCTCTCTGCAGACAGAAAAACGCAGCAAAAGGCAGTGAACTTCCCTTCTCCAGTGGTCTTGATTTTAGGCATCATACATGTATTAGTACAGTCATTCAAAACTAAATTTTAAAGGAATCGATGAGGTTCTGATGGAGTCAGACTTGCCTAAGTCAGGCTATTAATAATGCTAATTCTAGCTTAAGAGGTTGGAGTATCAACAACAGCCGAAATGAAATCCTGTTAAATGTGATAAATGCATCAGTAAAAGTAAGTTAAGAAGCCAAGCAAAATGGTATTAGCAGGAAAGAGTGGAAGCTGAGATGCTTGCTAAATTGCAAAAACAAACGAAAAAATCCAAGCCAAAAACCCAACAAAAGCCCACACACCCCCTATAAAATTTACAACAGATGTTCTCAGCACCCTGAGAAACACCACATCATTCACTGGCCTATATACAGCCCAGTCAGTGAACCTACAAAATCAGAGATAATATTGGAGCATGGTCTCAGAACAATATTCACAAAGAAGTCTCCAATATAAGCAGGATAGTATTGACTAGAAGTTTCAGCAGTGAAGGAGAAGAAAAAAAAAAAGAGTTACTAGGCAGCAGAATAAGAACAAGGGATTGCACTACATGCATACTAGGTAGCATTGCTGCCCATGCTTTTAACTTCGGCACAATGAAGCAAAACAACTCCTTGGAAGCTATACTGAGAACTTGGTCACAGGTATTTATATACTTTTGGACGGTAGTTATGGAATGGCAGCAAAATGGTTTCTATATCATGCCCTGTATGAACACCCACGGACTTGAAGGACACTTTCAAACTTAAATTCAGTACTAACACTTTGTCTCAGTAAAGGAGTAAAAGCAAATGAGTGCACCTGTAAGCACACTCAGCCACTAGGCTGTATAGAACAATACTCAATGTTTTGAGGCAAGACCTCCAAGAACTCTCAAACAGAAACCAACACAGAAAAGAACAAATTTTCAAGGCTGTAACAGCTCAACTTTTCAGGCAGATGTGCTGTATCAAGCAAGAGATCTTCTAGGTATGGCCAGAACCACTTTAGAGACATTCCTGACATACCTGTATTAACCCCTACACATTTTTTTGTGTGTTAGAGAAGCTACCACCTGTGACAGAAAATGAAGTTCTGTCTACAAGAACAAAATTGTCAACTTTAGAACTCCATGGTTATCTTAACAACACTGAGATTATCCAACTGAAGCCCATCCATTCCTTTCTTTACTTAGCAGTGTACCTGGAGACAAGAAGTACTCTCTTTCTAGGTGTATCAGCTTAAGAGAAGACACAAGACAATATCCAACAACGTATGCTCTCTATGGCTTGAATGAATCTGTCACATCATAAGCATCTTGATAATGTTTAAGCAACAGTAAATGTTAACAAATCTCTTAAAAATCCCACTTGACTCAAAAAAAGCTGTCCAAAATGGCAGTTGGTACAGTTTTCCGGCATAATTACACTAAACTTGCTTTTATTTTCAATAATATGAATGGTATTGTTACAAGTCCCAGCACTAAACTGGGGAAAGCTCCTAAATAAGAGTTTGCTGAATGGCCATGCCCAGTTTTAAAAGCAACTTCTTTGCAGATTCATAAAGCCTATTCAGCTCATTTCAAGCCAACAGCAGATTCACTGAAATTGAGAAGCCACTTTTGCAGTCAAAAAGTTGGATATGTTTTCCTTTTCCAAGACAGAGACAAAAATTAAGCCCAAATAAAAAAAAAGTAAGTTTCAGGATCTTCAAAGCAATAGTTAATGAAAGTGATTAAACTAATGAAGCTAATGAAGTGTTAGTTGTAATCAGTTTTTACTAAAAAGCATTCTGATAAAGTTTCTTACTAAACACAAATAGTTCAAGCGCGATGACACAACTTCAGTTTGCATGTGTACTTCAGTTAATAAATAGTTAAGTTTAAAACTAACTCAAATTGACACAAATCAAAGCAAAATATCTTGAAAATAGAGGGTTAAAATCCTGGATGCAAGATACTGTAAAAAAAAATTAAATAATTGTTAAACTATTTTACTACTTAAGATAACTGAATGTAAGCATAGCATGTCTTCCTTGCTATGAGTACAAACAACATTAATGTACAAACTACACAAAACAATGAGTTAAGCTACCAACGCCTCGGTAGTTTTAAACAGCCGAAAAAAAAAAAGCAGAAATCACAATCCAAATATGTATATACACCAAAAAGGTCTTATGATTAGGCAAACAGAGATCCCATTTTCTCATAATTTATGAACATGGACTCAAGCCTGAACCTCATCCATTTCCACATTCAGCAAGGCTTTACAATTCATAGAGTAGGAAGTCAGAAAAAATCCACATTAAGTGTAATTTTACCTGCTGCATAAGATGGACTAACACATTTTAAAATACATAGTTAGGAGTAGAGAACGTATTGCTCAATCAACTCTGACTGCATTACCCAAGATAATTTATATTTGTACTTATATACATAGATTGCAAATGCCTTTCCATAACAAGCACTAGCACATCACGGCTGTTGAGAACCAGCGAGCCTCTCGCTGACTTATTTTAAAGAATGCGTAAGCCTGGTCTTGTTGGAGGAAAGCTGCAGTCACATCCCGTATGATGTGCCCATGGGGAGTTTTTGCTTAAGTTTCCCGAGTGCCTTCCATAGCCAGACAGTACAATCCTTATTACTGGCAATTATGACAGATGTTCATCACAGTTAAAACATTCACTTCCATTCCTGTCCAGCCGTAATTCCACAATATTGATTCAGGTACATTCACATAAATTAAATTTTCTGTATTTATAACTGAACTCAATCACCTATAATGACAGACACAGCTAGGGGAGCAAAAAAAGTTTAATCTTTGCAATATATATGTAAACTAATAAAGTTACTATATATATATATAAAAAGGAAGGCTCTGTAACCTTAAATGTCTGTACCTGGAGGATCTTGGCAAAAATAGCAGGTATATTTCTCAGGTACATTATCTTCCAGTAAACCCATACAGACTCCATGCTGCCAGCATAGACACTCTTCACACTGTTTAAAGTCAAGAAGTGCACATCAACAGAAATGAAGCCTACAGGAGCTCAGTAAGATTACCTCGATTAAGAAACATCATCTACATATCTTATGACACAAAAAAAGTGTATTAATACCCACCCCCCTCTTCTAGCTACAAGCAAATACATTGAAGAATCAGACCACAATAAAATTTCAACCCTTCCCACACATTTTTCACATGGATTTCTGGAGAATGGCAACAATTATGAAATGGAAGCAGAGATCCTGAAAGGTGCAAAAATGTTCCCTTTGGAGATGAAAAATCTTCCACAAGATGCATGCACACATAATCAGGACAGAAAACAGTAGACAATCAAGCTTTCTTTAGCAAAATATATCAAGTTTTCTGAATTAAGAGGCTTCCCCCTCAAACAGTAAGTCACGTTCAATTATAAAATCCAAGGGATTAGTCACACAGGACTAGCCAATATTATGCTTTACTGATACTTGTATCTCTAACATTTTATCTATTTCAAAGGTAGCTCTGCTAATACAAAACTAAAGCTCAGATGTGGCTGTACTAGCTTTAAAAACTTCTGACATCCTTCCAAGTGTGAGCAATCATATTGGCAAAGACTGAATATAATTTGGCCCTACTTTTTTAGTGCAGTTATGCTATTTAAAATGCAATCACTGTACTTAAAGCCATACAGTTTTAGAGCAGGAAAAACTATATTCACATGTTCTGTTTCAGTCACTTCCCCCCCCACACACACACTTTAACAAGCAGACAAATCTTCAACTGTAGCCTAAAGACCACTGAAACATGGGACAAAACCCCACATAAGAATATTAAGTCAATTTTGATTTGAAACTGTGGTGTCAGTTTGGAATTACAATTTTCACAAGCAGTGAGACAATAGATCATAACCTCTATTTCTCGGAGCACAAGCCAAAAGCTTAATGCAGAGATCTCATCAATACTGGCAAAGGTTTTCAAAATGAGCTAAACCAAACACAAACGGCAACTGCGACCAATCTTACATGGTGCTCTTCACTGATCTACAAAGATGGCAACTTGATAAATATCTCATCTGTGTTGAACACCACTTACACCAGTTTTATTAATGCTCTTCTTATCTGCTGCCTTTCCTCAAGCTAGGAGAGACAGAAAGGGACCACCAGTTTTTGAATACATCATTGTATTAAATTAGTGGTCTAGGTGTGGAGGAAATAGAAGCACTGGGAAAGGAGAATGTAAAAGGTCAGAGAGAAATAGGTTTCTGAAAGGTAGGACCAACAATGTTTTGCCTTACAAAATGGGTAAACAGTCCTAAAGCAATAAGGAGATGTTTTCAAAAAAGACTGAGAGACCATCCTCCTTTCACAAAGATGATTAGTAGGGGCCAGAAAAAGATGTCCTAAAAGGAAGAAAACGGATTAAGAAAAATAGACTGCGTGCTAAAAAGAAGGGAGCTCCTGGACCTAGTTACACTTGCATCCTATAAATCATGCCATATGGCACAGAGCTACACTCAAGTGATTTTTCCAGGCAAATTTGCCCAGAACTCTAATGAAGCATCCCAACTTTTTTTATTTTACTCAGCTGATATTTAAATATCCACCCCATCAGGGCACAGGTCCTTCCTCTTGTCTGCATGTTCTATTTCACAGCTTGGCTGGCCAGGCTACAGCCTATTACTCTGGACATATGCCGCACAGAAGCTACCGCCTGCCCAGGCAGTAGTAGGGAGATTCAAAGCGAGCCAAATAAAAGATTTTGAAGAGGAAAAACAGGCAGAGCTGTGCACTATTATTTAAATTGAAGTTCAATTGTGAAAGAAATAACCGAACCCAATGAACATGTATTTAAAAGCAGCTTTTCATCTACCAGAACAAAAGTATCCCAAGTCCATTTACATCTACCACCTCCAAGGCCACCAAATCCAGCCCCAGAATTCTCTACATCACACACAAATTCACCAATGTTTATATATTGGTGTATAAAAACAAAAGGGAAGGGACAATGACATTTTGTCTGGACTTCTTTGTGCCCAAGCCTTACCCTACAAAGGGAGTCCTGTGCCTTCAGAAGTAACACATGGCAATGCTAAACTACTACTTTACGTTGGCTCCATAAATGAAATCTAGTAACCTCCTCGCAAAGTTATAGAGACTGGAATGAAACAGCATTGACCAACGATACGTTATTTTTTATATTTTTTTCCAGTTTTAACTTCTAAATGAGGCAGGTACTTCAAATGCAAAACGGTATTTCTCTATCCTGGTGTAATGAATGGTATTCTTTATGCACAAATTGCTTGAGACAATTAATTTAAGGCAACTTCAAGATAAAGGAAGAGTTTTTTGCAAAACCTCTAAGCTGAATTTTTTGGGGGGTTTTATTATTAGTTTAAAGACCTAAATGGAACAAGCTCTCAGTTTAACTGTATAAAAGTTTAATTAAACCTTAATGGTCCCCGATCTTTCAGGAAAAATAAAGGTGCTACTTGTTTTTAAAATTAACTTTTTTCCCTCATTATTTCTAAATCTGGCACATTCATGGAAATGAGCAAAGTTCAAAGAGAAAATGACTTACCATTCTCCCTCCTGTAAGAGGGCACCATGTATGTATCCTGGGAGGAATGAACCTCCAGTCACATGCATGGAGAAACTGCCCTGGCTCCTAATTTTCATACCAAGTCAAGGCATACTGGCACACAGGCACATGCTCAAGCAAGTACCCCAACCGTCAGCATATTTCAGTCGGATCTCGTCAGAGTAGTAAGCAGGGGCAGAATAAACACCTCAGTGGAGACAAGTGCAAAGAATGACAATATTCTTCTAAAAACCCATACACTGAACAAAACTACGTATCTTCAGGAAGAGAGGGCAAGTCTAAATGCAAGTTCTTTAGAGTAGACACTTCTAAATTCAAGTTCTCAAGTGTCAAAGTCTGAGTAGGAAATAGGGATGAAATCTTTCCTTCTTAAAAAGTTATGACAACTACACAGGATTCTCACTCTATAAAGTCAAAGGGAAGTGTCAATCTCGGCACTACACCTCTGAAAAGCTGAAAAAGGTTCCCCTCATCATAATTCCATAGTTGTATAACATAGCATCTTTGCTTTGTATTAACGCGCTCTACCTAAAGAGCTAACTCAGGCATTTCTACATCAACAACAGATCAGACTATTCAAAATATTTTCCCAAAAACTACAGGCTGACAGAAACGTGTGGGGAGCACAGCATTTGGTACCTTATACAAACCATCTGCCTAACCCACCCCCAAAAATCTTGTTACCAGCTCCTTGCTCCCCAGTTCCTATTGCTTCAATGACGAATGCAGGTACTTACCATGCTGTCCATCTGCATCTCTTTTCCAGAGAGAATAACCTGCTCTCCTAGACAATTCTTTTATAACACAGCTAAAGTGTTTAAAACTTTGCAATACACTCAAAAAGACCCCAAACTAGTTCAACCTAGAAAACCGATCTCAGAAGCAGCCCACAAAACTTTACATGAAAGCTATCCATAGACTATGTCCTGAACTAGGTGACAGTTCTCTGCATTCTCCAGTCACAGATTAGTGCTGAGCCTACATTTGCCAGAAAACTATACTCCAAACTGTATCTTTGTGTTTTTCATTGAGCCATCTCCTCAGAAGGCAGCCAGCCCCCTTTATTCCCAACTGTCAGACTCCTTTTCCTCCTGTACACTCAGATGCTATTTATCTAATTTTGACCACTGCCCATCACTGCACCCTTTCCTACCAATGCACAAAGTATCTTTTGCCCTGCGTTGTGTCAGGATCCAACACTAATACAAAGGTGTCCATCAAAATGAACCCAGCACTAAGAGAAAAAGTGTCATACCTTCCAGAGCAAATCTCCATAAAATAGTACGGAAGGCCAAAGAAAAATACCCAGTGAAGTTAGCTGTTAAACTCGACCATTGAGGACAAAAAAATCAAACTTAGCTGCGTTAGCTAAGTTTTTAAAAATTTTAAAATTAGGCTGTTGATGTTCAGAGCAAAAAAGGTGTTTCTACTGTCCTGCTGCAGAAGCCAGGAATGCTTCACACTACAATTTAAACAGTGCACCCCCTCTTCTCCTTAACAGGCTTCTACCTCCATTCAAGCAATAAAGTCCACCAAAAAAATCATCAGCAGCTGTGAGGTAGGTATAGATCAGCTTCTGTCTTTCCTCCTAGTTCCAAACAGCAAAAAAGAAACACAGTTCACAGTAACATGCCAGCAGCTATCCCAGTAAGGGCTCCCATAAAGTGGGATTCAAACCTCACAAAAATTAGCAACAGAATGCCTGGGAAAGTGAATTCGAAAGCTTCAGATGGGCATGAGCTTCATATGCCAGAAAAATATTTCTGAAGTCAGTGTCATTGCATATCCTTTCACAAAAAAAACCAACCTTCTCAAAAGAATGCAGTAATTACCTTAAAATCTGCAATGAGCACAGCTGCCAAGCTATACTACCATCACTTTGAACTGAGGTCCCACAACAAGCAAAAAGTTATCTAGATAGGAAGGGTGGGAGCCTCCTAAAAAAAAAAAAGGAAGAAAGAAAAAGAAAAAAATAATTTCTTCAGAAGGGCAACTATGAAAAGCTTGTGATCCCACACTTAAGCCCCTGCGTATGCTTCTTCTAAGACTGAGGGGGAATTACCAAAGGGGACCATGCAGCTCATGTAAGAAGCAGTGGCAAAATGAACTAGAGTAAAAAATGCTGAAGTTTTTTATTTTGTATGTTTGACTTCACTATCTGAAATTAATAGGAACTGGGTGGAATGGCTCAGAGCAGCTATGCAGGGAATGGTTTCCTGATAATTTATAAACATCTCAAAAAGTAAAAGTAAACAGCTATGGCAGTTCCAAAGAGGCTTTTATCAACGGTTTTAAGCAGGAGAGATTAATAGATACTGCTCTGGCTGGAAACAGTTTTCTGTAAAGTTGCTTTAAAAAGAGTACATATATGGAGAACGGACAGATGGCCTTACACAGCTTCGAACTCTGAATTTACAAACTACAAAAGAAGCTGCAGAATGCAGCTCTGCTTCGAAACAAAAGACTCAAGTCATGATTTTTTTTGTTCATCCTAACCAGAGGATTGTATGTTTAAGTCAGGCTTCTTGCCAGGGCAGAGAAGTGGAAGGGTACCACCATCTCATGGCAATGTTCTGAACATGCTCAGAATTAGAGGGAAGCAGAAAAGCCAGATAAAAAGCCACTAATTTTAAATATGTATTCTCTAAACCTAGGAAGTGTTCTAATTTTTAGAAAAATGCAAATCCATAAGCCAACCGTTAATGGCTTATATAGAATTGCCCCTTTCTCCCCACCTTCCTTTAGTCAAAAAAACAAACTGAAGATTTTTCACGAACTGTATCAAAAAGCAAAGTCTTCTACCTATCATAGCAGCTGCTCACCCTGACAGGTTATCTTAAAAAATTTTATGATTTCAGAGGACAACAACAGTTTATTTCATATACAGAACATACCTGTGCATATTTCTACAACAGCTTTTCCACTGACACCTTCCACTGTATTCACCGAAATGTGCAATCACCCTCCACTTCATACCTGAATCATGAAGTCATTTTCTTCTTTTACTTCACAAACACACCGAACAATCTCAAAATCGCTTTCTTCAACTTCTTCATCAGGGTTCGTGGTTACATCAACATCCTGACTGCAGTCATCATCACTCCAAAGCAAGCTATCCATAGATGACTCACTCAGGGTATCATCCTCTGTACAAAAAGTAGTTAGATAAAATCCCGAGTAATTGCAAAAAGGTCAAATAACTCTCAAGATTTCATCCCAAGTATGCAGACATACATTTCCAAAAGCATGAGTTCACCGTGTAATTTAAGGAACACCACAATGTTACTACATTATGTAACCTTCAATAAACAGTCTTTTGAAGGTTACTACATAATGAAGTTTTATATTCTCATTAATAGCTCCTTCAAAATGCTCCAACTTAACAGTTTCTGAAATTAAAATTGTACTCTCAACATACAGTGCCTCAAACCAAAGGCACATAGTCTCTTTAGACAACTAAGTATAATGAACAAAACCAGATTTATAAATTCAAATAGGATTCATACTAGTTTCTGCAATTCGTATAGAACTGTGACTTGGTACTTTAAGTGCAGAGCTCGCAAGAAGAGGTAAGAGGGTTCTTATCCCTCACAAACCATTTGATCTCACAAAGTAATGTCTCCATTACAGAAACATTCAGAGTCCAACACAGAATTTAAGCCTGCTTCAGAAATGATTATTTTCATTTAGACTCCTGTTGAGGACACATTTATCAATTCAGGGGCACTGCACTGCTCAAGGTATTCTTTAAGAATGCTCCCACGCTACTTAAAGCATTAATGGATCTCTGTGGATTGAATAAAACTGCCAAGAAAATCTTTATTGAACAATACGCTAAATTGAGATGCTTACCTCAGTAACATTAATGCAATATCTAAACCTTCCTTGGGGATAAAACAGGAGGGTGACAGGGAAAAGATAAGGATTTTAATTACTTGGGAAATACCCTAATGAGCCGGAGGAGAGTGGAAGGTAAAAATTTTAGTCACTCTTAACTAGATTGTGGTCTCTGGCCTATACTGGGTAGAACTATACTGATCACTTAGCCCCTAAAAAAAGACTGTAGAAACAGAAGTACCAGTCTGTGGTATAAACTGATCTTTCGGAGAAACATCTGTTCTCAAATTTAAGAGGCTGAGAACCCAATGCATTAGTTAATTTCCATGTTTAAAAGTTTTATTCCACCTCTGAGATTCAAGACTCTTTCCTGAAGTACTCTGGAAGCAACAGGTTAAGCACGCTGCACTTTCATTCTACACAAGAGTTTTACTATTACTTACACCAGATCTTATTTATATAGGCACTGCTTTTATTATTAGTACAAGTTCTGCAGATGCAAAAAGCAGCAAAGCAATTGTGAAAAGGATAAAATAAAACTATTTCCAATACTTTTCACCTCTTTCAATGTCTATGAACTGATCAAAAGAAGTCTGAGCAACTGATGGCCAAGTTACTAAACTGCAGGTACATTCTATGGTCGATACGCTCCAAAAATGCAACTGATCAGACCTGCAGTACATGTTTTAAGACATTACACTTCAGTAGTTTTTAATGTTTCCTCTTTTCTCTATATAATAAACTGAAGTTAATTTTTACATTTGGCGTAATACCAAACAATAAAACGGTTGTGTCAAAAAAAAAAAAAATCCAATGGTCACCAACAGTGTATCTGTACAATAAGGAATTTAAGGTTCCTGTACATAATCAAAGTGTCATACATTTCCCATTTCCTTCAAATTTGTGAGCTTATTAAGAATAACAGAAAGAACAAAATGTTTGTTTTCCTTTTTTATTTTACTGGCTTGTGACAGTAAATAGCAAGATGTACCAAGATATTAAAAATTATGAAAGCTGGAACACAGCAGCCACATTTTCATGAAGTACTATGAAGACACTAATAAACAGTTACTCAAGAGCTTCGCATCATTGTGAAGCTAAGAAAGTCACTATAACCATGCATTATACTGTATCTACATATAACTACATGTAACTACACATAACCACATCCAGTGGTCTCTCAAATACAGCACACATACTGTATAAAACTTGCATAGCATCTATTTTTAACTCTGAGTTATTACTTCGAGGAAACCTTAGGAAATATGAAAAATTTAATTACTGAAGTCTGAACATTGTTATTACAGAGTTAATACGGTGCTGCAAAAAGGTGTGAAATGAGTTCGAGTTCTGAAATAAGGGCAACAATCTTAAAGCTCCTGTGAAGGTAGAGTCAAAGCAAAAAGCAGCAACATCAAGCTCTGGCAAATGAACTGGGTTCAACTTTTTCAGGCAGGGGAAAGGAAACACACACAGTCCTGTGTAAGAATAGCCATATTTACATCATGAGTACCAGCTTTTGTGTATATTAGTGCAGCTCACACATTTACTGGTAATGAAAGACAGAACCAACAAACCATAGAGGATAGTCATCTTACCATTCGTTTTTGATTTTCCTCTGTATTGTCCAGAATCAGAGCAGTGTAGCAGTGTGCTTGGGTGGGCAGATAATTTATTTGAAGAAATAAATTTTGTGACAACTGATTTTTCAGGAGAAAGCTCTTGTGAAATATCTGTGTTTTCTTCACTGCCGGAGTATTCTGTAAAATTATAAGAAGTGTTATTGTTAGAAAACTGTGGTCAAGAAAAGTTGTCAGAAGAAAAAACAGCACCGTGCACGCCCATAGCAGGCGCGTATAATTCACTGAGACAGTTTCCACTTCAATATGCTAGGACTCTAGGACTTCACTATGCTGCTGAAAGATTTGCAGGCTTTCTAGAGGCAAGAAAGTTATCGTCTGAGCCAGGAAAATCTTATGCAGCTCAGTCATCCTTCACTGCTGATGTAAGTGAGAAAGGCTGAAAAGACTGGTTACTTAAACCTAACCATTCTTCAGGGTGAATATGTCTACAAATGCTTTTGCATTACAGGCACTTCTACACAAGCACTGTTAGCTGGAGACCTCTCCCTCACATCCCACTATTATTCACATGGGCTGTGCACATTCCCTAATCTCACAGACTACAAAGTGGACAGAAAGCATCTCTTCTCTTATTTTCCTAGTGTATACACAGAACAGAATGCATGGGTAGAAAAGAACAGCCCCAATTAGGAACGTGTGGAGAAAACACCTAGAACAGTTCCTCTCTGAAGTACCCATTCATCACGTCCTGGACTGTATATAAATGGAGGCTGTCTGCAGTTACAAGCAGTACCCTCCAATCAGTTATCTGGAGAAAACCTTCAAAGTTCCTGGAAGAACCACAAGGGCAACACCAAAAAAAGGCAAGCAGCATTTTAAAACCCAACGACAGATGGACAAGCAGTTTGTGGGTACTATTTGTACAACTATTACATAAGTTTACAAATTATACTTTGCATATTATCATTATATTTGAGGGCACCATATAATCAGAAACTCACTAACATGATTTGTTTCTGTACAATTCTGAGTCAGTCTACCTGTGGTTCTTTCTTCCCCTCTACTCTCTCATGACAACTTGCCCTATTTCTTCATGGCAGCAAACAAAAAGGTAAGGTATTTTCTTTCCCGTCTCAGAAACTCCTGCATAAGCAGCTCTAGTTTAACAAATTATGCATGCCAGATTGAAATGTGCTGCATTAATGATCCTAGACATCCATCAATGGCAAAGAAAGTTGCTACGCTTGATCTGCAAACATTTCACTAGAGAAATCTTTAGAATCAATTGCAATTTTCAGAAGTGAAGAATACAAATCACCAATAACACCTGGGCCTACACATGAAGTTCAAAGTGTAAAGTGGCCCAGGGAAAGCATTCCCAAGCCTCCGTAGATGCAATCAACAGAGAAGACATGTTCCTACTACAACCCTATTAACATAGATGGAACAACATGTTATGAGACATGAGAGGGACACAGCATGAGTACAGACTTTAAATCAGGCTTTTACTTCATCTTTCCAGGAGAGGAGAGATTTATCCTTTAGGAAAAAAATTTAGAATGCGACAGGTTTAACAGAGCTCATTGTCACAGCTTCTGAAATCAGCATACTAAGTGAAGATGTAAGAAATAACAAGGTTAATGGCAGAAAAAGAGGACCCATCAACATTTCCAAACTCCGTCATTCATACAGGAGCCCCAAAACTAACTCATGTAACTGAGAACATCTGGTACATGGAGTACTTGGTAACAAATCAAGGGGATCTCCACCCTCTTTAATGGGGTAAAACATGTATACAAGTACACTGGCTAACGAAAAGCCAGACTTAAGACTGACATATCGATTTTGGAGTTAGATTTATTCTGTGCCATTACAAGCACTATTATAAGCCATCATCCAGCATTAATGATGCACCTCAATCAGGAAATAAATTATCTTGTCAATCACAATTTAATATTAACCACTTAATAAAATCAGAACTAACAGATTAATGAAGAAAGCAGTCTTATCTGTAATGCCCGCTCTTAAGAGCATCTAACTGGGTAACAGGCAAAAGAAAATAATGAAGCTGTTTTCCTCTACAGAAGAAAAAAGAGCTTTACCAGGCTTAGTTCGCTTTTTCTTTTTTTTCTTTTTCTTTGACTTGGACCTTCCATAGTCTTTGGATTTTCTTTCTTTGTTCTTCTCGTGTTCTTTAACAGCTGAAATTAGACAACATTCCAATTTAATTTTTAAGATATATACATGCCTATTCTACTTATTAATTTCCTTAAAGACCACCACAGAAACCATGGAGCACAACTGTCCTGATTTGGAAAATCAGGGCCAGTTCACTGCAAAAAAACAACAATAAAACTTACTTGTAAGAATTCCCAGCTCTCATAATTGGAATGGTCTGTTTTAAGTTCTCATTTGATTGTCCCACAACAAAATTACAATAGCATGTGGGAGAAATCAACTGTACACCACTGCCCCTTTGTTATTTACGTGCTTCAGAGATTATTAAAAAATAAAATACTGGGGCATTTGTTATATCCATTTCTAAATTATTATGGCTGAACATTTCAGTAGCATTGTGACAGAAGTCTGACAAGAACAAAACTGCAACCCCCCAAACTCTAGTACAGTTCCTCAGTCAAATATTTTGTTTTCATTGAAAAGGGAGTAACAACTGGTTCAGTTGGCTTTAACTGCTGTTCTCTCACCATCTGCTCTCCATCCTGTTTTTATGGGAATAACAAAAAAAAAACAAACAAAACAACAACAAAATGTAATTTTTGACTGATTGGGTGGTATCTTTCAATCAAGTCCATCCTCAAAGCATGCTTCCAGAGCACTTGCCATGAAGTATAGCCTCACTGCAAGGTAATGTGCACAAACCTTTGCTTTCCATATCCTAACATTTGTTTACAACACCTGTCTTTCAGATTTAGGTCTCTGCAGCAGAATTTCTAGATACTTATACAGTTCCTTAAGTAAATTATCCTGACTCAGCCAAGACTATATGTGCAACCATAAAATCTATTATGGAAAGATACCTTGCATCTCAAAAGGGCTCTCCTTTCTGAGTGCTTAGCTGATTAAGCCACTCACCATCCCATTTAGAAATCTATTTCAATTCCTGATTATTGGTATCAGAATAAGCACCTAAAGACACTCCATACTGTAAGAAATCTTCTCGTACACAAAACATTTAAGAACCCTAGCTGGTCTGTAACCACTCATGAAGCAAACCAGCAACACGAGTATATTATGTTAACCTCTTTCCTACATGCTAATAGTAAACTGCCCAATTCACAATCTAAGGCTATGTACTTAGGGCAAACAGCCCACTCAGAAACTGGAAATCTCAGTCACGTTTTACCAGCTGTGATGAGCATGCAGGAGACATGCTCATTAGCTCCTCCTCATGAGAGTCTCCAGCTCTGTATCTCCCCATCCTCTTAGTCCTTGAACATCTCCTGCTACTTTGCCACTTACGTTCCTCTTTTGGCATGTCATTAGTGATGTCTGCTAGAACTGTGCATTGCCAGCAGCCACATTAACTGCTGACACTGATGGCAGCCTGCCATACCAATTACATGTCCTTCAGAGGGAATATGACTGGCAGCACAAAAGACAAACTTCATTCCCCCTCCATTACCACTTGTTGAGGGGGGTTTAAACAAAAAAAAAAGAAAGGAGAAAGAGGCTCATATTTAAGTCTCAGCACAGAGCTTCCAACTTCCTTCTTACTTTCCTTTGTCCTCATCTCTTAGTCCTCCAGCAGTCAGGATCCTCTGGGTACCATTTCCTTCTCCCTGCTCATACACAGGGATGCAAGTAAGTTCTGCCATTTTATTCTTCCATAAAGGCAAAGAGAGAATAATAGAGGTCAACATAGGTAGGAAAACTTTACATCTTTTCACCTGGGAATTGAAATTTGCATGGCCAGATCGTATGATTTGTTTTAAGATATCTGAGAGCGCAGAGTATGCTACTTCAGTCACTCTCAACATATCCATGATAAATATGACAACAAATTGTCACTTTGTTCCACACTTTTTCACCTTGAGCTTGCCAGCTTGCATGTCTTTTAAAAATCTGAAAAAATCCAAGTATTTGCAAATTTCTGTGTACAGCTATGTTCTTAACTGCACACAGTTAATGCAGGATTTTTTTCCTAAAAAAAACCTTGCAAATAATGAGTATTATAAAAGGGACCTTCCAAAAACCCTGTACTGAAGAATCTTTGTGTCTCAAGTTGTTTCTTGTAAGCACTCTGAAGTCTAATGAATTCTCACTGAAAAAAGACCACATAAGGAGGCTACCTAGGTTAGGAGCATCCTCATAGATTCACGTGATCAAAGAGAAAGGTAAATCGCCTTACATAATCCTAAAAATTCATCACACAACAGTTTTAAAAAGGGTTTTTTGGCAAAAACATAAAAAGACCTAAGCCCTCTCAACTTCCTTGAATGGCAGAAAGACTAATCAGGACCAGGATGAGTACTCAGCCAATCCTCCACCACCACTGTGAAAGTTTATTCTAGTCTCTATATGGCATACTCTCAAATAAGAAACATCCCACTGAGTCAGCCCAATAGAGGAGACACTAACAGATCTCATTCAGACCTTTCCATAAGGGAAGGCAGCAAAGGATGTCCAGGAATAAACAGAGGTGGTAAGTACTGACTGACTACTATGACCAACAGAACACCACAGTGACAGGCAAGTAAGTCTCAAGACTACCTCTAAAACAAAGATCACCTGTTACAGATAGAATAGCCTAAGCACGGATTTTTTTTGTGTTTTCCTCATCACTGTGACTCAAATTCTCACCACATATCTGAAGGAAAGTAGTGATATAGTAAATCTGGAAGTATGCTAGAAATTATTTATATGTTATTTATGTATATATAAAAATATATATATAAATAATATGCATTTAAATATATGTGTGTATGTATACACACACACCACACACCCCCTGTATGGCTGTTACCCACCTATATTATATTAGATTCCAGTATAAACAGGGTTTACACTATACCACTGAATAGTCAAAGTTGTGAAGTAAAGTTGTTCAGATATGTTTAGTAGCAAGGAATGTTGACTACCAGAAGTAGTCAAATGCTATTAAAAAAAATTACAAGAGAACAAACTAAATTATCCTGTCCTGCCTGCCCCTCCCCCCACTCTTTTTTTTTTTGCGCTTTATTAAGCTTAGGTATCTCAACAAGTTCAGAGTTACTTAAAATATTTACTGCTTTGGACAACCAAGAGTTTAATGGAATTAAGACACATGTATCAAACAAGCAAAAAATAAGCAACAATCTTTTCATGCCCTTAAACACTTTAGTACTTTTTACATCTTAAAAATATTACACAGTGACTGGGAAGATTAAACCCCAATGTGTATAGCAAGAAAACTTAACAAAATTCCCTATATTGATTCTTCATTTCAAACTACCGCAAAGAAACAGTGAAAAAACACCACTTACATTTTATACTGTACATCCATAAAAAATTAAACTCCCTAAAAGAAGGTATACAGAATACTTTGTCAATATTATCAGTTCCTTACAATGCTTAAAACTTTTCCAAGACTCTTCCAAACTAAAAAGGCGTACCATTTTCAACTCTTTCTTTTTCTTGAGGCTTCCGCAGCGATCTCGCTATGTGGTTCTTGGTTTGTTCTCTAACAGAATGTCGGTGACTATTTAATGCGCTTACAGGAGTTGAAGTTCTTCTCTTTTCTATTTTTTCATCTCTATATGGGGTACTCCTTAGAGCTATGTGTAGAGGAGCATCTACAAAGAGAATAAATACGAAGCCCAAGCTTTAAATACTTCCAAAACGTTTAAGTCTACTTCACCAGCAGCAGCTCTGGTAGTCCATGTGGAGCATTTCTGATCAGACACACTGCTCAACTCAAAATCCTAGTAACTTGACCACGGAAAAGCTTTTAAACAGAAGCTAATTTAAAGGCTAAAACCTGCAATGCTTTTGTTTTTTTGTTTTGTTTTTTTTGTTTGTTTGTTTGTTTGTTTTTTCAAAAAGAAATAGCAGATGCAAACACATTCCCCAAAACTCTATTCTTCCAGAAATAGTGTGGCTTTGAAGAAAGATAGTAAAAGAAGCAGTTCAGCTTGACAGAGATATTGGTCAGGTGATTTTTGTTATCAGTTTAAGAGAAAAGAAAAGGGGCCCTGTTGATTTAATTAGAGGAACCACAGCCTGTTCTCAAAAGTGTGCTTTATAATGAGGCATATAGAAGTGGCACAGATAAGCTCTGCACATCTAAGGAAGGGCAGTTTTTAAACACATACCACTGAAACAGTGTTTTCAACCAAGAGCGAGATGCAAGAATTCAGGATCACTATCTAAAACTCACAGAAATCATGATACATAGACATGGCTTCATCTGAGATTCCATTTACTATTTAAGTCAAATCAAATACTTCTCATCTTCCTAACTACAGCTAGCAACTCCTACTGAAAGACTCCTGGACGTAGAAAAAGAGAAGTGAAGCTGGTAAAAGCTAAGGCTGCATGGCATGTAGGACAGTCAGACTAAATGAGACAAGTACATTGCCATTTTGGAGTATAACGTCAAGTATCTTGGTCAAGGAGACCCAGCAGCCAAGGTGACAGCTTGCTGACTTTCATCAAGAACATCCAATTCTATCATCATAAGCATCTTAAAAGTTCAGTGGATATGAAGGGCAACTTCCTTCTTGTCTGAAGACTTACATGCCTGCTGGATTTTCACTTGGACACCTCTAAGTAAGTAATTGTGAGCAGTACCTGAAAATGACTGAAAACAGAAGGCAAAGAGTCCAAGAGAGCATAACTAGGAGAAGAAATGGGATCAAGTACTCTGCCCTGACCAACATTTCAAGCTTCAAGGCACATTAAGACATGTCATTATGGAGCTTTCAGAATCAAGTAGATCTCTTCAGGCAAAAGAAACTCCAAGATCCAGAAATCTGAAGGCCATCAGATGACTTTTTCCCTGGTCCTCTCACCCTGAAGTTGCATTAGAACTTGAGGGGGGAAAAAAAGAAAAAGAGCCATTCGTAACTATTTCTGTAACCAAATGGTTACCTTCTACCCACCTGCCACAGTGCTTTAGAACAGCTACAATGGGAAGACAGAAATTAGAGCAAACCTCAGATTTCCACACAAGACTATCTCATAAAGGTACCTTTTGTCCAGTCAGGCAACTCACTGTAGCCTTTCCCTGGGTGTTTATTCACCTCAAGAGCTGCAAGACTGTAGAAAGTAGCATGTTTTGTCCACGAAGAATTATCAAAACCAGAATATACTCCTTGATAAGATACTGCAGTATGCGAAAGTATCAAAACCAGAAAATACTCCTTGATAAGATACTGCAGTGTGTGTACGGCCTTCCGTTTTGAACAGGACTAACTCCTCCTCTTGCAGGAATAAGTATAAAGAGGGGTTTTTCGTTGTTTGTTTGGGGTTTTTTTGTTCTTGTTGGTTTTTTTTTTTTTAAAATACAGGTCTATTTTTGTAGGACTTCTTGCTAACAGAATTTGCTCATCTGAGGACTTCCATGATTAGTGCGTTGAACAAGACATCATCAGTTCAGACAGACAAAACTTTTTTCCATGGTACACAGCAGCTGAAAAATAAGATTAAGGTACTTCATAACCCATTTGGGAACACCAGTGTCCTAACAAACTTTCTGAAATACAAACTTTGTAGGAGTACAGGGTGAAAAGTCATGTAAACAAGCCTTTCTTGAGCTTTCCTGATTGTCTACCATTCTGCAATAAGTTCCAAAAATATTTACAGAACACCGTCTCAGGGAACCCCAAAATTACAACAGAAAAAGCTATACAAACCAGACAACTTTCATTTAGGCCTCCTAACTTTCCCCTCTCCCAACAGCTCAACTCAATTTCATGAATTAAGATTTGAAGAATCCCATGGCCCCCTTGATCCCACCAGTCTTCCAAAGAGCACAAGACATCTGGGCTTCCTGTAGGTTGAGATTTGTGCACGCAGACTCTTGGTGGAACAAAACCGTATTTTGCGTCCATTAGGTTTTTTAGCTTTGCGAGACTGAAGTTTAAGGAGATTTTTGCCAAGAATATGTCGTATCTTTTATGACACAGAAAGGTTAATACATTGCTGTAAGATTTTTCAGCCACCAGTAACACTACCCTGGGGGAGTTCAAGGGTACTCTATCATACACCAGATGTATTTTTCTTCAATAACTGACAAAAAAAAATAGGTATCAACAAATATATTAAGTTTTGAAACACCTTTTGCTCTATTGATAGAGAAGTTTAGAGAATCTGAGATCTTTGAGCACTCTGAAATATATTTTAGCAGTTGAGACTACATTTGAGAAGATGAGATCAAAAAACTGCAAAGTTATCCTAAACTTTTGGGAAAGTAAACGTTAAAACTTGTGCCATGAAGACCCAAACTTGTAAGCCTTCCACATTTAGTGTCCCGTTTCCTCTCAATACAACATTTTCAAGTATAATTCAGACAGGCCAATTTATAAAATTACCCTGAAAAGAACAAAGAGCAACTACTTACCGTAACCACCACAATCAAGAACTTGTATTTAGGTATATGCCTTTAAAACTTGCACATTCCCCAGGCTCAGACTTTCTGCATCTGCACCACTTGCAGAGTGTGCCATGGGCTTTCATCCTCCTGACTCCCTGAGCCAACCTTCACTCTCCAGAAGGCTTCCTACTCCTCTGCCTCCTCCCACTCACAGGAACTCCTGATTGCAGTTTCAAGAAAGGCCACAGAGGCACAATACACCGTATTTACATGGACATCATCAACTTTTGTTAGTGCTATAACTAACTTCTCTTGCAAGTCACTTGTCCCTGTAAGCACTCTACTGAGACTATCAGGCAACAAGACGACTGTACTGTGAGTCTGTAGTGAACAGCAAGACTATGCTCATAGAGACTCCTATTAGGAAGTGCATAGGAGACTCCTGTGCATTTCCTAAAGCTGTCTATGCAGGTACCATGAAGACACCTGCACTTGTCTCAGAGATATCCTGACATGGGACACAGGTGGCATCTAAGCTACAACTTCCACACATTCCTGATGATGCCCAACTCAAACAAAAATCAAAGTAGTTATTATTACCCTTTAATACCTCTATGATCCACAATATCATTAATCATTATTAGAATTATACAGTTATCTACAAATACATCACAAAGGCCCTCCTGATATCCAGGGCAGTGAATATTTTCAGTGTTTTTGAACATTGATGTTGGAATTAAACACCAGCAGATTAACTTCTAGCTCAGATGACGCTAAATACCAGTAACAGGGGAGATATGTTCATAAAAAACTGGAGATGAAAAGGCTTGCTGATTAACTGCCCGTAGTCTTCTTCCATAGAGTTCTTTCAGGCCTCTCTTCTCTAAGCCTGGGAGAAGCATCCTCTTCCATATAAAGAGCTGATCCAGAAGCAGTAAAGGATCTTAGAAACTAACAAATACAGACCTGAGATATGAAACCGCCTCAACCATGCAGAAACCACAGAGCCTTAAGAGAACTTATACCTAACCATGTCAAGACTCAGTGACAGACAAGGCAATAGCTTTCTGTCCGATGGAACACAAAAGATGTCAGACCTCAGTTAAGAAGATAATTCAGCCTTCACGAGAAGCAAAGAGACTAAATTCCCAAGTGTTACGAATTAGACAATATTCACCATCCACAGTTGTGAGATCATTTGCTGAGAACATCCACTGATACTTTCAAGAACTGAATGACCACGTATTATCTTGGCTTACAGCTGAAGTATTTCACACAGCCTTCCTCCACAAACTAAATGCAGTATCTCAAGATAAGCCACAAAGTTGATCAGCAATTCTGCAGAACACAGAGGGTGTTAATGCAGATCTTCACCTACTGCAGCGAGAAACCTTGTGTTTGTAGGTCACCCATGCACATTCCACTGCCTAGCGAAGAGGCATCCATCAGCCAATATTCAGAGGAAACAGGAAACCCCCCAGAGGATCACCCTGAAAAGCCCTAAGCCACATGCCAGAGGTTCACATGTTAACAGCTATCAGTTGACAACTGGATGCCTTATATATTTAAGCTGTCAAAGCAAGTTTGCCAACCTGTTCCCTATGCCTGTATGGTTAGGATCTCATCAGTAACATCAGTAAAGTCAAGACCCCTTTTTTCTTTACACGTATTCCCGGCATTAAGACACTCACGCATTAACATGACATATTGTAACTAACTTTGAGTAGGAAGAATTTTCTAACAACAAGGTCACATACAAAAACTTAAACCTACTGACAAAATGCATGTATTTTCTTGAGGTACCTTTTATGGACTCCTCAGTAGGGACAGATTTTCTAGTCTCTGGGTCCATTGCTTTGGTCTCACAGGTCCACTGCTTTCTTTTCTTCCTCATGGCAAGAAGAACAGCAGAGCCAAGACTGGCAGCAACTTGCCAGACTCAGGCTGCCATTTATATACCCACATACCAAAACCTCAACCTAATACTGCATGGCGTTTTTAAAGTCTCAAAATCAGGTTTAACTTCCATTAGAGGAAGACTCCTCAGGGGAACTGAACTATATCCTGGGAACTGATGAAGTCCCTGCCAGTACAACAGTCGTGCTGAGGGCAGTATCTAGTCTGTCAGCACTACTAAGTGGCTATTAAGAGCATTCAGAGTACACCAGCCACATTAGTGAAGGTTTTGATAGCATTTCCTTCAACACACATATCAACTCCCCTACTTGTTCACATCTAACGAGGTTAGAATTTCCTGACAAATCTTCAATACCTGTCAAGTACAGAGCCTCTCCAAGGTCTGAGGTGAGGTGCACCAGCTATGCAAGCACTGAAGTTTGGCACAAGTTGACTTTCAGATTTCAGAAAAATTGTTCAACACAAGGACATGAACTAAATTTTGTTGAACCTCCAAACGAGAAGATTTTACTAAAAAATGAAAGCCATCAATTCAGAAAGACTCAAACTCAAGAAAGAGACATGCTTCAGACGTTCAAATTATGAGTTGCAGGTAAAAAGAATTAAATGAAGCTATTCCATGCCTCATTCCCTTGGAGTAGTCTAGGTCAGGAAACAACACAACTTCATTAAAAATAACCTTTTGCAGACACTTCACATAAAATAACATGGACAGACAGACACATCTGAAAGAGAAAACTGGCACCTTCAGAGGAAGTTGTTTACAGTACATGTCTGTAGGGCACACATCACTGTATGGGATGACGTATTTCAACAGTAAACTACGTGATTGTACAGAGAAAGAGAAGGGACCACAAAGAAAAAAGCCTATCTCAAGGTTAATGCACATGAATGTGGAATGTGGTTCTACTCTTTTTTTTATTACAGCAATCAACAAGTAAATAGCTGCCAAAAATTTTAACAGATACTACACCACATTCAATTTCCAAGTGATAAATTTGAGAGAACATCTCAATTTGAACTGTCAAAAACTTAAGCAACTCTTCCCTGCAAGACAGACTCTGAGAAGCCATCTGCAGCCTATGCTCAAAAAACTTGTTTTAAGCTTATGCATCCACATAAATTTGTGCAGGTCTTTATTCTCCTCTTCAACAGAATGGCTGCAAGTGACTCTATAATGCACTTGCAGAGGTGCAACGCAACGGCAGAAACGCCTGCATCTCCTATATTCCAGGAGGACACAAAATCAACTGCCTTATTCTCTATAAAGACAATTCTTTCAGTGAAGACAAAATAGCAGCAATACTCATGGAGGTATTATAACATGGGGCCGGGGAAGAGTTGTTTCATCATAATGATCCTGTAATACTTCCTGATAAATTAAAGAGAAGAGGTATTGCCTGAATGCATCCAGTAGCCATTTAAGTCTGCGTCATTCTGTTCAGAGTAGTAAGGCATAACTAAAATACAAGCTAGGCAATGGTAGTTCTTTCCCCTCTGTTCAATGAAGAGCCACTACAGAACTTAGAGATATCTGTCAAATTTGTCACTGCAAAGGGGTAAGATCCTTCTTAGGGAAAAGGGAGAGACAGGACAGATCAGTTCCACATTAGCCTTTCCAGCCCCCTGAAGTTTTGAAGCCAATGCCAAGTGGCACAATTTATATTTCAGATGTTGACATTTCAGTCTCCACTTTAGTGCAAAGTAATATACTTAAATTGTTCCTTCCTGTGCCCCACAACATAGTCATTGATGACCACTTACATCCATCTTCTTTTCTCTGTGTCAAAATTCAAAATTTTAAGCACCACAAAAAAAGCGTTTTCCTACTGTTCCTATTGCATAATTTCCTAGAACTTTAGGAACAATAAGGATTTTCACTTCAAATCTAGCCAACAGTCCACTCCACCATTTATTTATTTAATGTGTAGCAGAAACAGTAAGGAGTCACAGAACTCCAAAATAAAACTTGTGAGATAAGGACTTAAGTGTGATAAAGCTTCTAAGGCAAGAGTATGTCCAAGCTTATGGAATAACAAGATTCATGATTTCTAAAGTCTTACCTGTTAGAAATTGCCACCTTTTAAGCACAAAAACCTATCTAAATAGTGAAATATAAGAAAAGAAAAGGACATTTGTACCAAAAGGTAAAATGATTTAAATGTATTCACTTTGAACAGGAGAATTTTTGCTCACAAAAGGGTTGTAGAGATGAAAAGTAAACCCACCGTGTACCATACTTAATTATATATTCAAAAGCCTTCACACTCACTAAGCAGTACATCCTGAAAAGCCTTTTAAAAAGGTGACATAAAAGTGTTCAGTAGACATGGAGAAAGTCTTGCTTAGCAGGCTGACTTCCTATGCATGCCATTAAGAACAGAAGAGATGCTTGCAAAAAGACAGGACAACAGAACACAAAATGCAACAGTATGAGCTCATAAACCCCATTAACTCTCCTTTAGAATGTGTGGTACCCCCTCAACAAAAATTAGAAGAATTAAGCACACTTTAAGTTAAAAACAAAATGGCACTTAATATCAGACATGATATAACTGATAATGACATTACTTTTCTTCATCAAGAAAAACCTTACTGTAGCTCCACAATTAGCAGGCTTTGACAGTGAAGGTGACTTGAAAACTTTACGGTCCACCTTTCACCTTGAAGCACTGTTCAAGAGCTGTCAGCACAACCCAGGAGCTATTTGCAGGAATATGCTATGAAGCATATCATCAAAACAATCCAGGTTAAAAATACCCATCCACAAATGAGAAATGAAAGGGGTGGGGGCTTAAAATAAGCAGATACGGTTACAACTCAACACCATCAAGAATTACCTGCCAGTGCAGCCAAGATGACATCAAACCAACAGTGTGCGTTTGGGGGAAAGGATAAATGAAAGGGTCAAGATCTTGAGTCACTAGTCAGTTCATTCAGGACAATCACAAGGAAAACAACTTCTCAAACCGAAATAATTATGCAGTTACAAAAAGCTGAATAGAAGTCTGTTTATGGAAAAGCACATGACACACAAGAAGCCTATTTTGATCACTGTGCAGTTGTTAGCAGCTATTCTTCATAAAGCGCTCATCTCAATTGTGTTTCTCAAGGCAGTACTTCAGATTCATTTAAGCTGCAAACAAAGCATAACAAACGCAAGTTCGCACATCCAAACACATTTAAAGAAAAAGCTTCTTCTACTTAACCAAATCTTATGCCTTTGCATTATTTAAAGTTACAGAAGTATTTGGGGTATAGAAGTTTACATGTAGTAGCAGTATCTTGTGTTACACTTATCTTGTTAGGAACAGGCAGAAGCACCTCAAATGAAAAAAAATGTTTGCTGGACACATTAGGAAAAGCAGATATGAAGCAAAGCAAGGCCAGATATATTCTGCTGTAGTAAGCTGTAGGTCAGTGAACAACCTGCAAGACTTTGAAATTCTTAATTAAACAGAATACTAATGAAAGATCAAATGCAAAGACAAAAACCACCACGGAATTCAGCAAAGAGAAAGCTGGATTTTATAAGACAGACTCAATCAGAAGACAAAAGAGATGACAATTTCTATGGACCTGCAGTACAAAGAGAAGTCAGTCCACAAGAACAAAGTTTGGATAGGTTATCAACAACCAACACTGCAGTTCACAACTAGACCTAGATTGCCACTCTGATGTTATGCAAGACTCTAGGAAGAAAGTGCTTCAGAGAATGAGATGGTGAAGCAGAAGTTAACATGATTTTGAAGACTGCAAAGCAGTTATAACTTAAGAACTGATTTTTTTCCTAACCATTAAGTTTTTATCCCTTTCCACTACCCAACAGTTGTATGAGGATCTTTTTCAAGTACAGCTATAGCAATTAGCATTTGTTAAATAGTAGGACTTTTTTCCCCCCACAGGTCCAGCAATGAGAATTGTAAATACTGCAGAAACCGGTACTGGATTTCTAGCTAAGTATACTCTTGAAGTCAGACCATGAAATGTAAAGACCAAGTAAGAAACAGGAGAGAACTGGAGTTACCCGGACTGTCTCCTTAATACAGAAAAGGACAAAAGTCTTTGAACAATACTATTTAGATGTTTGTCAAGCCAGGAAAAAGAGAAAAAAAAAAATCAGAAACTCAGGGAAATGTAGTTTTGAAAAAAGAACGGAGGTTTAATACTCAAGTAAATTGTTGCAAAGGAATAAGAGAAGCTGCGTAGTCAGTTCATTACAGAACATGATCTGTATTTCTAGATGAAGGAATTTCTTCAATTTTATCTTCTCTAAAACATAATGTTTCCACCTATTATGCTTCTTCTCCACAAAGAAATACGCTAAGACAGAGCCCTAACGAGACTCCTTCGGCCTAAAAGAAAATTGATTTCTGCTCTTTCCTGCTTGCTGCTCTTTAAAAAAGAAAAAAAAAAAAAAGGAAGAGATCAGCAACATACTTACACAATGAGCCAGTTGTGGTCCGTCCTCTTTTTGACCTTTCTTGATTAGCTTTTTCAGAAGCCAAAGAAGCTCTGGTTTGAATATTTCTTTTTAGAGGGTTCTGCTGTGATTCTGCAGCGTTCTCCACTCCATGCAAGTATTTCATGTGATAATGCAATAACTTGGCTTTGCGGAAGCATTTTGGACAGTCCAAGAACTTGCATCTAAACTTGTGATCTTGATCAACAGTTGCAGCTTTTTTTGAGGCAAGAAAATCTGCTCTCCTACAAGGTTTTGTTACTGTAAGAACAAAACAGATAAATTCCTCCATGCTTTTGCTATATTTATCAAATGGTCTCCTAAACTTAAAACAACAAAAAAGTTAAGAAATGGGCATGCATTCAAACATGTTAGCTATGAAATGCTAAAAAAATGTTATGCTGTATCTGCCTTTAAGATCAATAGCTTTTAAGGGAAAACTCCACCCTACTGTGCTCTTAAAAATTGGTTGTCATGACACCAGTGTTTTTATGAATGAGTTACTGTCAAGAAAACGACACTTTGCTTCCATGAGTTCCTTGCCCAACAGCCAATATTACTGTGTATAGTGCTACTATAGATACGAGACTGAATTACACAGAGATTGTGTATTTTAATCAGAACACTGAAGATTATGTTCTGTCAACTATTTATTTAATTGTTTGTAACTGTTCACACCTTTGGTGAAAACACTTTCCAAGGAAAACAGTTCTGCTTCTTTCCTTACAAATATTTTGCTACCTGCTTTCTGGATGCCTTGTCCTACCACCAAAGTCTGGTTATTTCCAAGAACAACGGAAGCAGTATGTCAGAACTACATTTCTCAAGTAAAATTGAAATTTATTTCAATTTTCAAGCAGCAATGAAAGAATGAAACTAAGCAAAAGGAAAATTGCTTGCATCTGTTAAAAATGTCCCCTATGAGCTACAGTTAATTAGTTTACCAAAAAAAGCAAGGGAAGTCTTCAGATTCAAATGAAGAACATTTTATGGCATCTGTTTTACAGAGCAGTGCTGTGCAACCCAGAGCTATACCTAAACTTGACTTGGTAAATTCCTACAACTTCTTCCAGCATTTCAGAAACTTTCAATTCATGTTTTTGCTAAGAAATACACAAAAGAAACATTTTGAACTAAGAGTAAAACAGACTATTGTCACCAGTATCTGTACCCGATACAACAGAGGAGAGGTAGAAATTTGGAAATACAGAGATACAAAGAGATCCAGGCAATTATCCATCACTAATATGCACACAGCATCAAAAAATCCCTCACCAACTAGGACACAATGGAAAGGAGGTGTCATTTTTATAAAACAGCTTCCAAATACAATTTTTCTATTTGTTTTGCCAGTACTAAAATATAATTCCCATATTTACAAATATTTTCAAACTTGGAAGATTAAGAAAGGAGTAGTGTTTAAAGCTAAGGCCCAGACCTAGCAACAGTGATGCAAAACCAAAGGTATGCAGCACATGAATGAAAATTAAGACATTATATTAGAAGTAGTTGAAAACAAGGAACAGAAAAGGACCCAGAAACATTACAAACAAAAATAAGCACAGAAAGAATAAGACTTTCCACAAGTGCACACATGCTGGAATGCATAGAATGGGAATGTTAAAGGTGGCGTCAACACTATCTTGGTGTAAGAACACAGGACAGCTTGTTCAGAAATTTTTAGCGTGTAGCAACAAAAATAGTGAGTATTACTGAGCTGCATATTTAAAGGTTATGTCATAGTGAAGAAAAGCATCCTAGATCGCTGTATCTGAAGCACACTCAGTTTTTAAGCACTGCGTTATGACAAAGAAACAAAACTTGAAGCTATTCATAGAGGAAAAACAAGTAATGGTACCATGGAGGCTGATGTACAGGGAAGGATTAAGAAGTCATATGCACATCAGGCTGGTTAAAAGAAAGAATATTCAGTTAATTTTGAGAAGAAAATAGTAAAAATGAAGATATTGCTTTTGGGTGTTTCACAAAGATAATGACAAGGAGAAAGAGAAAGACATTTTGGCATAGCCATATTAAGAACATCCTGACAGGGATACGGCTTCAAGCAATTATGGTAATAAGATTGCAACAAAGCCAGACAATTGGATCCCACTTGCACAATGACAAAGTTTGCCAATACCAAAATCAAAATATATTGTACACCATCAAAAGTTATGTTCATAAAGAATGAAAAATATCTGAGGAATAGTCAGTGAAATGGCCTGTAGGTTTAGTGAAAGCAAGCGCAGAAAGGTTCTCTTGACTATAAAGGTAAAAACCAGCGTTCAGGACAATGAAAGAGAACTTGTTTCTATTTAGTAACTAACATAAAGATGGGAAAACATAACTGCAGCAGAAGGGGGTAATGGGGTCCGAAGATTTAGCCAAAAAATTCAACAAAAATGACAAGGGAAACTATTATACCATCACAATTGTCATGATGAGGCCCTGTATCCAAGCTCAGAGCACTTCCTCTCCATTGAGATGGAGAAATTCTTGAGAAGATACAGGGAATGGCTTCTAACTGATCAGCTACAAGTTAGAAGAGGAGCACAGGATCACGTTAGCTGAAGTTTAGAAACAGAGCTAACAAAGACACAGGGTAAGGGGAAGGAAAGAAGACAAAAACTTACTGCAACATGCAAAAGGAATCTATTCAGAGTAATAAAAACAGAGACAATCCCACACAGTTTGAAACAAAGTTTAAATTATTACCATCACCACCACATTTGGGGGCATTTTCCTTCTTTACAAGTAACACAATAGAGCTCCCTGCTGCCAGGGCACAGCAGGAAGCTGATGCCCAACTCTGCCACCCAGGAGAGCCTCCGAAAAGCCTGTGCTCCCAGCCAAATGCTCTGAAGCCAACTCATTACACCAACATCTAAAGGGGGGAACTTCCGTCCTTACACATATATACAATTTTTGCTCACAATGCATGGTACTAAAAATGGTTTCTATGGAAATAAAGTTTTGCTGTATTAGCTTCAGATTTTCAGGCACTTGCCTTTTCAGAGGAGCTTGGTGGGTGTTTTCTCTGAGTACAGAGGAAAGTTAACAATAGACCTACCACCTGCTATTTCTTCCATGTTTATAACCAAAATTAAAACTCCTCACCTGGCATTCAATTAGCCATTACAATATTAAGCACAGATGCTCAAGGTTAAACAACAGTGTCTCCTTTAACTTCCACTACAGAGGGAAAAAAAAAATCCCTTCAGCATTCAAGTCAGCAATCTCTCTCACTTGTCGTTGTGCTGTATTATCCAAGGTTCAAGCTAAGACCACATTTAGCAGTACGTTTATAGTAAAATGTCAGTCTGTGAAGCTTCTGAGTCCACAAGAGATTTTTTTTCCCCCATCACCAATTCTTTGTTTGCATCAACTCCTGCTGGGACAGGATGTTTGGCAGCAGCACAGTATCTTGACTGAAGGTCCACCATCCTGAGGCATCTTCTGCAACATGTCGGTAAGCTATCCCAGAAAGTTAACAGTACATGTAACACTGAGCATTTTCCCCCAAATAAAGCTGGCCTTGCTGCAGTTTCTAGCCATTAGATCTTTACAAACAATTGCCTGTTAAACTGATGAGACTTCTAGTCTCTATTTCCTAGTCTCCACAGAAATATTAAGTGAAGATCAAATTATTCCTTCACCTGCTGTTAAACTAAACGCATTGAATCTCTCCAGAACATATGTTCTCTGGTGCTTCCATCTGTATTATTTTCAAGATTATTTTGTTTGTCACCATTACCTTTCTTGAACTGCAGACATAAATTTTATGTATACCATGGGTAACTGCACATAAATAGGTGATTCTGGATAGCAATAACAAAACCTCATCTCTCACATTTCCATCTAGTCATGCAAATGTGAAGTTGACCTGTGGGGTCTAATGTTACTGGTTCAGCGCAGTCAGTCTCAAAATCCTAAGAACAATTTTGGAGTCGGTGCTCGCTTGGGAATACAACTATTATCATAATAGTCCACATTTTAAATACAGCCTTCTACTTAGCCCAGCTGACACTTTTTACACTGTGCTTTGGATCACTTCACACCACTGGGCTAGCTTCCTTATGAATTACCTACTTCTTTGGTCTTATTTATTCTGAAATCTCGTATTATTTTTCTTGAGCTTGCCAAAAGTGTTCCTGTTCATCATTTTAGCACCCGAACTATGTTTCTTCCTTTATTTTCAAAAACCTCTGTCTTTCAAGATCTTTGTGGAACAAAGAGCATCTTTCCGAATTGCTCTTTGCAAACTACTGTAGGTAAGGATAGCATCCAAGCATTTCCAGTGTGTCCAGAATCCACTCAACAACATAAAGTAGATGCTTGGTATAATAAACAGATACAGCATTAATAATCACAGATCATTACATGTTCACAAAGTTGTAATTTTTGAGCCTGAAACATTACTTGACATTGCAAGAACTACCCAAGACAGTGTTTCATCTGATCCTCCACTCACCATTTGCTCCTTGTGCTGGCACTAAATTTGTCACAATAAAACCAAGGAGGTCTATACTGCACAAAAAACTTGTAAGTGTGCAATGCACTACTGTGCAAACGTCTACATACCTTTAGAGGGGGCTAGCAGCTGGGTGGATGTAAAGGCTTTACCTGCACTTTGAGGTGTAACTGAAACAGTGTCCAGATCGTGGTGCCTAGCTGTAAGAAACTAAGTGAGCAAGGCAGGATGGAGTTCTTTATGTACTATATTGTTAGGCTTAAAAAGACAACTTTTACACTACCTTGAAGGAATCAAAGCCTACCTAGGTAAGCTGCAGAATATACAGCTGCTCTCTCAAACTGGATGCAAAGATCTTATGCTTCTCTTTAAGTGAAACCCAAAGCTAAAAGTGACAAAATTAGAAAAACATATCGTAAGTATAAGGCAAATGGAATCTCTGATGCGTGTCTATGCAAATAAAAAAGTAATCTTAAATTCTGGTAAATACAACTACAAACACAATAGCAGATCTGTGCAAAGCAAAGGCAGCCCACCTTTAAAGTCAAATCAGTTTGTAAGAGTAAAGCGACACGAACAGCTTTAGAGTGCTTCTAAGACTGTGTTCACATATATGAAACAGATGTTTAACCGGCTGCAAAAATTTGCTGGACTGTCACCCAGTTTTTTGAAAGACAACTTGGATTTAGCTAGACCCTAAATCACCAATTCTGGTCCCTAAACATTAGAGGGGCCAAAAACCAGCAGAATATGATTTTCATCCTCTAGTTTATGTAATTAACCAGAATTT